CCCTCCAACCCACAGTTCAACCCCTTCTGGTTTCAGGTGGACGATTAACCACAGGTGGAGACTTGGGAGGACCCTGGGGTCGTTGGCATTTTTCAGTGGCTACAGCCAACCTTGCCAGTGACCAGGCCCTTCAACACCAGCTCCCTCTCCCGCCAGGTTAAGCTGGGTCAGGGCGTTCCACAAGAATCTCGGAGGGGAGCTGCTAGCCCCCGCAGCGGGCCCTCCAAGGTCCGGCCTCCTCTCCAGCAATCCCCACAACCGCCTGCGGTGCAGTCCCACTCCAACCCCTCCGCGGCTGCCCTCGCCCCTAGCTCTTGGGGGGCAGTCTCGGCCCTTCCTGACCTGGCCCTCCCCCTCCCTCCAGGCTTGGTGGGCCCCTCTGCAGAGTCTCCAGGCTTGGAACCTCCTACGCTTCCTCTCCAGATAGACACATTCCACCAGATGCAGCGCCTGAGTCCCTCAGCCCACACCAAGTCCCCCACTCTCCAGCAGAGAGCCCCACCTGGAGGTGTTTACTCAAGCCTGCCCCTCCGTCCCGCCTCAGCCCAGGTTGGGGGGCACCTGGGGTGAACGGCTGGAGTGTGTCCCTGGAGAAGCCACGTGTGCACCCCTGTCCCTGCAGCCCTGGCCTCTGCTCCAGGCGTGCGAGGTCCTCCTGGAGGCTCACCTGGCCCTCTTCCTGAGTTCCCCGCTGGGGCTCCCCGGGCTCCGCCTCCTCTCACCTACCAAGAATGGAGCCCCTCAGCGCCTGGGTGATGATGTGCAGGTCATCCACATCCACAAAGTGCAGATGCTTCTCAGCGGGGGCTGAGGCGGCGGCCGACAGCTCCAGGAGGTTGCCGCGGCCAGTGCTGACAACGAAGACAGTGACGCCCAGGTCCTTCAGCTCCTGCATGGGGGGCCCCACGGGGTCGCTGGATCCGCCGTCTGTCACCCACACCAGCACCTTGGGCACCCCCGGCCGGGCCCCCGCCGCCTTGGCAAACAGCTGCTCCTTGGCATATGCCAGCGCCAGGCCAGTGTTGGTGTCACCCATGCGCTGGGCTGCAGCGCGTATGGCATCCTGGATGGCCGAGCCTGAGCTGTGCTGGCCGAAGGGGAACTCGGTGTGCGGCCGACTGCCCACGTGCACCAGGCTGGCACGCAGGGCCCCAGGGCCCAGGGGCAGCAGGGCCGCCAGCCGCCCCAAAAACTCCCGAACTTGGGAAAACTCATAATGAGACACGCTGGCCGAGCTGTCCAACAGAAACAGCAGGTCCCCCTGGGGGGCAGATGCCGGGGGGCCTGGGGGAGAGGGAAGGGTTCAGCCCCAGGTGGTGGCCCCCAGACAGCCCCACACCCAGGTCAGAACCCCCAGAGCCTGAGCTTTCCCTAAGCTGGCACTTGCCCTTACCCAAGAAAGCCCTGAAAACCTGCTCAGTCACACCCCAAAGGTCCTGGGGTGGCACCCCAGGGGGAAGAGGGGTCCTAAGCCAACAGGAGGTCCACACTCTCAGCAGTTCCAACTCTGCATCCTGGCCACATGCCTGGGGCACCCCCTGGGCTCATGTCTCGTCTGCAAAGGAGAGCTGACCCCTCCAAGCCCCCACACCCTCCCCGTCTTCAGCAGACTCTGTGCGCAGGCTGGACCCGGCCCAGCCCCCAGGAGTGGTGGGTGGATGGGTCTGGGCCACCAGGGCTTGGCTTTCAAGAAGCAGCCTAGGGCTTCCCTGGTGGCGCAGTGCTTGAGAGTCCGCCTGCCGATGCAGGAGACGCGGGTTCGTGCCCCGTTTCGGGAAGATCCCACATGCCGCGGAGCGGCTGGGCCCGTGAGCCATGGCCACTGAGCCTGCGCGTCCGGAGCCTGTGCTCCGCAAATGGGAGAGGCCACAACAGTGAGAGGCCCGCATAACGCAAGAAAAAAAAAAAAAAGAAATCAGTTACAGGGAAAAAAAACTTTAAAAACACAAACACATTGAGGTTAAACAATACACTACTAAATAACCAAGAGATCACTGAAGAAATCAAAGAGGAAATCAAAAAATACCTAGAGACAAATGACAACGAAAACATGACGATCCAAAACCTATGGGATGCAGCAAAAGCAGTTCTAAGTGGGAAGTTTATAGCAATACAAGCCTACCTCAAGAAACAAGAAAAATCTCAAA